TAATATTGAAACTATTTTAATATTGATGCATATTATTCGATTTAGTATTAAAACAATTTTAAAACGAAAGGTAGAACAACTTGAAATTTGAAAAAAACTCGGTCGTTGGGCGTACAAATAAAATCTAGAATCGGCATTTTCGGCTTAATAACGACGAGCGAGAAAGCTGCAATAAAATAAAATAAAGTATTGAGAAATTTTCGAATTCTGCGCAGTTCGTCTTATTTGCAGAAGCCAAGTCGCGGCGGGCAAATGACATCCGTCAGTTTCTATTGCGCCCGAGAGAAATTCAGCTATGTTTTTAATTGAAGAATCCACCTTCCGTGGCGTCATCAGCCTCGTCGGCATCAGCGTCGTCGGTGACGATCGCCGCCACGTTCGGGCTTCGGTGACAGCGTTGCTGGACGATGTCGACGCGGTGACAGGGGCCGATGACCGCGTCGACAGGAATGTGAGCGTCGAAAGCGAAAGCGTTTTTTTTTCGTCTTGTCATTAAAACGTTTGTCTTGTCTCTACCTTTTCCCCTTGTCTTCAAATTATTACGAATGTGTCTCGGAAACGTCGCTGTCGTGCTTGGAAAAATCCTAGTGCGCGTGTGAGCTGCTTTGTATAGAGAAGACCGCAATAATTTATTTCCAGTTTACTTTTTCTCATAATGAACTAAAAGTGGAATACCGTATTAGCTGTCCAACGTTTTACGCATAAACTTTGTGGAAATTGTAGAGAAAATGTACATGGATTCTAAATGATTCGAAGATATTCGCGCCAAATTTGGAAAAATTGCAGCGCAGTCCATTAGACTGATCTGTCGAAGAGAAAATCTGAAATGATTCGAGGACAAAGTCAAATTTCTGAATATTGTAAGTTTAAGCAAATCACAAAATGTTGATTTATTCACAGTCAGAGCTCTCGTCCAGGCCTTAATGAATCAAAAGATTGATCGAAGAAAAAAAAAGCGGTCAATCAATGAATGAACGCATACACTTCTTTCAAATTGCAGCCGATTCAGTAAATATAATATAGAATGATTTTTGAATTATTCATATCTAGGTACAGTATTCTTGATTTGGAATAACAGCCATCTGCTTTCAAACTGCACAAAGCTTGGTGGTGTTTTTCCCTCTTGGTAAATCAAAGTCCGGGTAATTTTTTTTAATTACTGTATTATATGTGCCATACAGACCAGGGGTTTCTCAGCAAAGCTTTCTTGTTGTTGTGCAAAAAGGTCGATATTGTGTTCAACAAGGTATCGTAATTGCTTGAAAAAAATAAAACTCGCCATCTAAATAAGCTGATGGAAAAACAGAAAAAATCGAAGAATGCCGTTAGTTTATCAATTCTGAATGGGCATGAAAATTCATGAAAGTCACATTAAAATTGGCATGCCACACTCATGGTGATGGAGATTTCCTCATGCGAATTAAATCATTATGAAGCTGCTTTCGTGGTACTGTATTTAATTTTTGAAATATGACGAATGCTTTTATTTCAATAAAGCGTAACTATATACAAGAGACCGACAAATTTCGAAAACAATGCCTGTGGATGTATGCTGTTATTTGATTGCTGTTTTGTTAATCGCAGACGGAGCTAATCATTTTTCAAACATCCTTAGCAGTAGATTCGAAGAAACCTGAATTAGTCTCAGAAATTCATTATTTCTACAAATTTTTAGTTTTTTCTTTCGAAACGTCGGCAGGAAAGCAAAAAAATTCGGCTCTGGATTCAATCTCTGTTTAGTCTGGGCAATTATCAATCTTAAACTATCTCCTGATCCATTAAAGAACCAAAACCTTCTGCATATAATCGTAATAATCAGAACGAAACCTGGACAGTAAAATTTAAAATACCGAAAGTACTGTACCACGAAACTTGTAACTAGTGGAATAATTGTTCTGGTTACGATTATGCATGACAGCTTTTGATGAGGTTTCTCTAATCTACCACTGGACAAGTAATGAAATTCAGTACTCTCGGAAAGCTCCTTTAAAATTTTCGATCAATTAGGAAATTCTGAACTCGTTCAGATAATCTCGTAAATGTCATTCCCCTCTTTTCGAATGCAAACTGAAGCTGGAACGAGAATATCTTAGAGCTTGAAGGTGGACCAAATAAAGACTTTAGACGTAATTTACAATTGCACTAGCAGCTTCTAGGAGACAGTGAGCATCAAAAAGTAAATTTACCGGTAATAAATACTCAGTATTCCATCTGCCATCAATAAAGCGAAGTATAGCTTTTACCTTATAGCTTATTTAGAGAAGGAAAAAAAAAACCTTGAAGCTATTTCACTCTTATAATTTCAAGTGCGAGGAATCGAATGTGTCCCTTCGCCTTTGGGACGACTAAGGCATGAGGAAATAAAAGGAACCCGGGAAAGTTTTTCCTGCGACGGAACGCGGAATAATAAAAAAGAATTTGTGGATGTCGGAACGAGGAACCCGAAGAAAGGGAGCCTTAGTTATTTCAGGGTATTAATTTGCCGTCTTTTATTTTATTTTTATTCACCCCCCCCCCCTCCCCCTCTTCGTCCGCTGATTTATTCGGTATGCTCGGGAATAAGGCAGTGGCTGTGGGAACCGGGTTCAGGCGCGGTCAATAGCCGCTGAACCCGTTCGGAAATTCGTGATCCTTGGTTCAGCGTCTGCTGATGCACGAGCTCCAGGGCATGGAATCCACTGACTGCATTTGATACGGGGTGGGGATTGTTATTGAAACCTGCTCTCATTTCCTTTTTTGTAATTTCTTTTCGAAATCGTGTCCTTTTTCATGTGACTAATTTTAATTTTATTTTATTTTATCATGATGAATGGTAAAAGAAAAAAACAAAATCCTGAACTCTTGATTACCCAGGTTTCGATTATCCCTACATTCGGTTAACAGTGTTGCCGGAATTCCGACTCATCGAGATATGGAACAAAGTTGAATTAAGTAATTTTGTTCTAGCCGCTGTTCCGTATACTTAATTAAGGTTTTTTTATTACTTGGGGTACAGTTATACACTTCGAGATTTTCAGGGAATTTCGTACTTTTATGCCAGTTATGCAGAGGTCATTGTTTCATTCATTTTTAAATCTGTTGAATACACTTTTTCAATGCTACATTCGGAAAATTTCAAAAATTTGCTGCTTTCGCACTCGAGATATTACATTTATCGGACGAAGACAGTAGTTAAATTAATTTGAAGTTTAGTGTAGATTTATTTTAATCTATGATAGTAAGCCATATTATGATTTTGTTTGAATTAATTTATTCAGAATACCAAGACTACGCTGCATATTTTTGAAATTTGAAAAAATTTCCCGCGGAGGCGCTGTTTTGGTTTACAAATGCGTTCCATTAAGGAAAATTATTTTCAATCTCTTTGCTTGTACTGTAATATAGAATGAGACCTTATGTAAAAAAAAAAAAAGCCCCCTGGAAGCATAATACGGGGAAATACGTAAAGATATTTGCAAAAATTACATTTCCCATGCGCATATCTCCGGATAGGAAAGAAATAATTCCGATATATTGAAATTTGAATCTTCTCGAAACGGTTTCACCAGCAAAAGTTACATGCCCAGACAAGTGAGTATATCAATCTGACCAGAGAAAATAGAAACGTCGAATTGAAATGTTAATTCAGAGTTTTATTGCAGTGTATATACAAAATGTCGGTAAACTCATTTATGAATGAAAATTTCGATTGAAATATTTTGAAGATGCGTCCAAGTGTATGTTTCTTTTGAAATAATTTCCTTTTAAAACCTTGCAATATCGATAATCCATAATTATTTTATACATTCCCGTGACGCGAATTTATCAGAACGATTTGCTACCGAAACGAAACTATTCACCAAGCGTACATTTTAATCTAAATGTTTCGAGAAGAAAAACCTCTTGTTCATTTTTAGATGCCCGCGTATAACTGAGAGTCGAATTCATACAGGCGTCTCATCTGGAATTCTGATTCTACTTTCCCTCAGCCTCGCAGCATCAAACAAAGTCAATGTCGCATTGTTCTCCCACATCATTCCCGGAAAATATTTTTCATCTTTATTTCCACTATAAAATATTTATTTTTTAAAGCAGACGAGCTGCGCGTAACACAGGGATTCAAAAAAAAATCGAAAAATTTTCGGGTTGCGTTCCGTCGGAAGGGTCAACCCTTATCATCGAATATTACACGAAAGAGGCCACGCTTGCTCGAGCACGACTTCCGTGGAATGTGATTTCCTGTCAGGTTTAATACCCAAAGAACCCTGGAGTGATTTATGAGTTTGCGGGGATCCGCATTGTTTCTGCTGATAAGCTCATTCAAATGACTTTTCGCGAAAGAAACGAAAAATCGTTGGTTGGCGCTCGTGAAGAAGGAAGAAACGGTAATAAAACTGCGCCCACAATTAGAGGCGACGCCATGTTTTCAATTAGTTCGAGTACATTTTGATTGCGGAGGAATTGGCATTTCTCGAGCGTGCGGCGCAGACGTCATATCTGCTGAAATAAAATGTGTGAACCTATGGAATGTGATTAACCCTATGGCCCAGATTTGAGGGAGTTCGTCTCATCATCATAGAAAGCAAAATTCAATTAGACGTCGTGGTTTCACCGAAGGCAAATGAGGAACTGAGACCAATTCTTCCACGTCTGGGGTCATGACTCATCAAGCAACTATATTAAGCATAATTACAAATTCCATGGAAATGAGTGAAAGTTGGACGAGGAACATTCATATGATGGCAACACGCTGCACGCTGGTTAAAGCGACATCTTCAATTGTATAGATAAATAAAATATGCGTGTGCATTATATATTTAACAGAGGTCACTGCAAGTTTACAAGCTGAAGCCTCGTGCTCTGCCGGCTCAGTAAATCTTGAAATCGCATGTAAATGGCCCGTAAAACTGAAATGATAGCCGACAAGAAGCTTCATTAGATATAATGCTCATGAAATAATTTCTAATTCTCAAGTTTATCAATCAAATATCAGCGAACCGGAACCACAATTGATGCATCGTCTACTGGAATGCGGGACTGATGCCATGTTGTTTTCTCGGGAGATTACCCCATGCCTGCTCATTTCTCCGATTTTCCATGAACCAAGAAATTGTGTCTCTTATGACTATTGCAAGAAAATGAGTTACTTCCAATACAGTAATCCAGCAGATTCCGAGGTACAATCCAGTTGCTCCTCCCACGTTGCTCAAAGCTTGATACACCTGAAGTACAAAGATCATTAATGCCCCAAACAGAGGTTCACGCATTTAATCAATTTCTGACAACTTACGTTGTACATCGCATTTTCGTTGACTTCTTCGCCATACAAGGATTCGAAATATATGTTGACTCTTGCCACATCACGAGCCGTACTATTTTCGTTTTCCCGATTTGCCGACGGATTTGTGAGATCGCCTTCCTTCTGAACTTGCGATGATCGCGAAGTAAAAAAACCTACAGTACATGACCGGCCTTCGAACATTTTTATATTTTCCACTGAGAGATATTCGTCATGGTCTAAGATTTTGAATTTTAGCTGCCGTGTATATTTTCAGAGGCAGCTGTAACTTGAAAGATGAATTTCTGAACATACAGAGTAAATATAATGCAGAAACTTACAATGTCTCCTGGTGCAGGCCAATAACTACTGGAGATTGTAACCATGTAAGTGTCCTCTCTGAAATAATCACGAAAAAATGTGAATCTTTTAATCAAAATAATGATAAACTGCTGAATAAAATAAGATGGGAAATACAGATTCCAATGAAAACACGTGTTGATAAATGGTTCTGAAATGTTGTTCCCACCTGCAAGGAGCATGACAATTGCATGCGTAGTTCACGTCAGATTCCATTTTTAACTTCACGTTTTTTGAACGCAAAAAATCTGCGCAAAATACAGAAAAAATAACTAGTAAAAGAATGTTATTACATTATTAATATTACATTTTTTTCAGATGCGCGCTCTTTTAAAACCTTACCTTGAAAACCACTGCAACTCCGAACACCTAATCCGACTTCTTCGCCCTTGTAGAAAAATGGTTGAACCAGGTACGAATCGGAGCAATTGCAATCCTGGATCAAAAACACGTTGGTGCACATTGCCATACAATTCTGCAAGAAAAATTTGCAGAATGCCAAAAGCTGTAAAAACCTTGATCATATACACGACTTGAGGTTTCTGATTTGCGTTACTCAAGATCTTCAACAATATGAGATAAAAAGCACATGTCAGAAATAGACGTAAAATTCAAATTCAATTTTCTTCAAGATTAGATGCTCAGTTTAGAAAGAAATTGATTTTGAGCGGAAATTGGAGGGCATTCATCCGTCTTGATCGCAAGGAACTCGAAATATTATTTTTGCGTTCAAAAACGGTTTCAACGAGCAATAACGCATACAATTCGTGAATTAAAATTCAAAAACCAACTCTGAAGTTTCCATGACCCAATAAAATCTTCGTGCAATGAGATCAGTTCATGATCGAAGTCGCTTTCTGCTCGGCATTGTGGACATTCGACAAAGAAGAAAATACTGTACTGTAATTTGTATATCTTTTTTCTCAAAGGTATCAGCAGTGGTGTTTCTTTCAGGATTTTAAAAACATAGAGCAAAATTCAAAATTAAGATCTGCAGGTTTCTCACTCGATGGGAATAAATGTTCAAGGGAAAGGTATCCACCGAAGTGGCATTTGTGTAAATGAATTGCGAAAAATCCGAGCGATTCCACGTGTTCCAGCAATCGGATACGTAAGGGGCTTCCAGACGAGTCACACTGAAAATCTTGAGAGCGAAGTCAGTTTCAGTATTCAGTTGCACGAATCTTCCTTCTTCAAGCATAAGGGGTAAAACCCCGGGTTGCGTGATTGCAATTCTGCCCCCGGTTCCGGTCGTTACAAGCCCCGGCATATGTTCATTTGTGTCGAACTTCAAATTCATTGTCAATCCTGTCAAGCATCATCAAGATTTGAACAAAATATTTTTCGGAATTTTGAAAATCTAATTTTGAAAATTTTCAAACCTGACGAAATCCCAGTTTGAGTAGAAACTCTTTCGGCATCCTTTCCCAACGACTGGAGATTTTTCACTCGATTAAATGTGTAGCATACACCTTGTGCGACATGGTAATCCGTCGTGAAGGCGCTGGCATTTTAAAAATTAAAGCAAATATCGATGAGCAAACGAAAACGGATTTCTTTAATTATTAAAAGGCATTTGGCTTCTTGATTATTACAAAAAATAATGTTTAAAACATAAAAATAGGCTTCTACGCACTAAAAATGGGGAAAATAAACTTTTCCCAAAAATATCCTGGGATAGTGTTCTAATAAAATTGTGGGGCCTCAGTGAATACCTTCTCATCCTCTATATCAAATATTTTATTTGATATAGAGGATGAGAAGGTATTCACTATGAGGCCCCGCACTTTTATTAGACCACTATTTATCAGACCAAGTCAATTAAGAGGCCTGCAAATTGAGCTTGAATTGCTTTTAATTTTTGCAAAAATCAATTTTGCTTACAAGTAAAAAAGCAAAAAAATCGCAGAATTTGGAGAAATACATTAGCTCCACAAGTGAATTTTTAGAAATCATTTGAATGAGTGGATGTTACTACTGTATAAATTGATTTTTCTCATTTTTCAAAAATTAAAAATTTCTCTGTTTTCGAATAGAAACTTTATTTTTCAGTCCAAAATTTTGACACTCTCACGATGTTTGACACAATGCATGGCAAATACAACATCAAAATTTGAATAAATTTGAACATTTTTAAAGGGGTTAAAAGTGCGTTTTATGGTATTCTGTATTTTTCCAATTTTACAGTTTTGTGGTCATCCAAAAATTCTGAAATTTTGAAACGTTGCATTGTTATTAATGTTTGACAATGGTGAAAATTTTCAGCTAGATTAGACAGTTTAAAGTGTGTTAAATTTCAGTTGCAACCGTTGCTAAATCTGCATACCCGTTAGACATACATGCCCTTATACAGTCAAGCTGAAGAAAAGTCTATACAAATATGCGACCAATAACATGAAGTAAAATTTAAATGTTATACTTGCGCAAATGAAGTCTCAGACCTTCAGGGGATCATGAGTGAACAATTACAGTTAGATGAATAATATTACTAGGAGCTTTTTACATATTTTTAGGTCTACCACTGCCAAAAAATGTGCACATATTACGAATGTCGCTACATCAAAAAATTGTGGTAGAGTCAACTGATATCAATACTTTTTTTTTATAGAAAAAACGTCATACCTCACCAAACACGGCCCAGCTGCGAAAGTGCAATCCATGATCATTTCATCAAAGTTATACACAAGGTCTTCGAAAATAGTTCGATTGTTCTTGTTTTTGTATAGGCTTGTCAATGCGGAGATCAAGGTTTGTCTCGTCATTTCTGCTCCTTTTGGCGACGGAGGAACAGGTTGTAATATCGGAACGTTTTTACTGGTATTGGCAGACAGTTTCGGTTCGGAAGGGAAATTGGCAATTGTTGCGAGATGCGGGAATAAAACATCTTCTAGATTGGGTCTGCAGAGCGTGAATCTGTGTGTTTGAAATTCTATTTAAAATTAGCGATTCAAGTCAATATTGCTTATATTTCTCACAGTGCACGAAGAATCCGAAAAGTCCTCTTCGAATCATTTCGAATGTTTTTAGGTACTTCGATGCGTTCAGACTCTTCCAGCAGGTTTTTCAGACATGTTTGATTGTCGTTGATTCTCAGTGTAGTGAAATCCTGGTTCGCAATGGCTTCGAAAATAGTGGCATTCCATCCAGTTATCCATGAATGAATAACTTCGCCTTCCTTCCGGATCATCTTTCCATAAATAAAATAACAAACAAATCTCATTCTTTATAAATTCGTTATGGTTGAAAAAATTGATTTCACCTTGAAAATTAGAGGCGGTTTGGAGACGGATGGTTTGCATCCACTGAGCAGCATGACTCGAACCAACTCTTCGGGGTATTTCAAATAGGCTGCTGCAAGTTTGGAACAAGGAATCGGATTCCTGTTGCAAATCGTCACCGTGGGAAAAGCCACTCCACCCTGGTACTTGTACTCGACATCAGTTATGACAGGAAAAGAAAAATAATCTATCAACACTTCCGAAGTGTTCTTCACGGTGATGACGCATAAAAGTGCGAATATCAGGATCCAAATGATTCTTGCCGGTCTTGAGGTCGTCTGGTTGATTTTTCCAACCCCTCCGAGGGTCGTTGATTCTGCAAACTGTTTCCATGATTCCGATAGCTTTGCTGACACCATCTCAATGCGTAAATCCTCTCTTGTCTTGGAAATAGTTCAACAGTCAAAAATTGTTCCCGGAGTTTTTTGGGAAATGAATGACCTCGAGCATGCTTTATATAGGAATAATAAGCTATTTTTCAGGGGACTAAACAAACAGTTTTTCAAGGCTGCTCCACTTATTTGACTTCATTTCAATCGATCGTTCGTGCAATTTTGATAATAATACCCTGGTTGTTGAGAATGGAACATCGAAGTCGGGAAAAATGCATAGGACCAGTTGCAGGAATACGCGTCAGCTCAACAAGAAGCAATCAATTCCCACGACGAAACCTAAAATTAAAATGAAATTACCAAAAACTTCAGAGGGTCATTGGCGAGGCGATGTTTGCAATTCCAACAATGCAAGAATTGCTTTGTCGCATGAAAATCGATGAATTGAGAACTAGCGTCAATTTGAGAAAGAATTGCAGTTTGCTGAACATCGATTTCTCATTTTGAAAGCAATTAAATAGCGCCTTGATGGGGCGCGAGTTGCTGTGTGGGATGATGTATATGCAATGATTGATTTTCAATTGAAACAAAGTCTCAGAGAGTCATCATGCAAGAAAATGCACTGAAATCTGTTGGCAGGGTCTTTCATTCAAAAACCAAGAACAGTCAAATTCGGCCACGTCTTATATACAGTACTGAATATTCCAACACCAGTAAAACCCGGAAAGAAAAACCTTTCAGCTAGATTGCATTATTTTTTTTTCTCCGGCCTTTTGCATAAGATAAAATTAGAGAAAAATTGTGCTATTTTGAACTATGCTGCACAGGACCTTATACTAGCTCTTGAGATGAGGTATAATTTGACAAAATACAGGAAAAGACGATGTTGAAATGATGCAAAATCCAAAAAATTTTCCAAAAATGCCTTTCAGCAAATCTTTGAACGTACGTCATGCTAAAAATTGACCATCATACACTAAGATAACTGCAACATGTCTATCACAATAATACGTTTATGATTGTTGACCCGGAAATCATTATGCTGATTACGCGTGCAAAATTTTGACTTGTACTTCCTCTCTGAACACAGAAAGAGTGTGAATTCTTAAGGATGAAAAGATATTTCCTGAAAAGCAAAAATTCCAGTGATCTGTTTATAGTGTAATACATATTACTGTGAGAATTGCTGAAAAAAAAAATTATCCACGAAAAACACAAAATCATCATTTTTCTGTGAGTTCCATGCAGCGAGGGACCATTTATCGTCAGTTGTCACCGCAAGCAAGTGCTTCACGGGGAAATTGCAAATTCAAAACATTTGGAAGGGCTGCAAGCATATTCCATGCACATTTCCATGACAATAAATCCCGACTCGAAGAATCATTTTCCAAATTGTGCTGCAAAATATTGGAAAATGGACCACATTCCTGAAAAGAACCTTCTCATGTTGAGGTGGGGATCGGGTGATGATTTTTTTTTTTGAGGATGATTTCGTTGCAGTAGCAGATGTGGTGATGGGGGTGGTAAGCTTGGGGGTCGTATTATTCAGGGTAGTGATGGGATTGGCGACAGTGCTGTTTTTTGGGGTGCGCACATTATACATTTCGCATATTTCGCACATCTGATTATGACATATAATTGTACGCATCGCTAAGAATTTGTTGAACTTCCTTGTATTTCGTAATTAATTTTGGAGAATCACAGCTTCGAAGCTTCTTAACATTTGCGTCCGTTAAATTTGGGTGCATATTCTAAAATTTAAAGGCAAGTTTATGTTCTAGTCATCAACGTTGAATCGACAGCTTAAAAACCGCTTTTATATTTAATGTAACCTTATAGAATTCAGCATAAGGTGACCGTATTGAATGTTCCATCCGATTCTCGGAATTTAAAAATCGGAAGAAAGCGTGCTATGGTTCAACTTGCAGCAGGAGCTACTTCACCTGCGTGGTACGGTGCGTGAAAATTGTTGGAAAATTCGAATGCATGAAGTACCGCGGCTAAATTTTCGCATTTTTCTGGAACAAAGTTGAAAAAACGTTACCGGAGCTCCTCGGAAACTCCGTAACTATGAAAACCGGTGAATTTATGTGGAATTGTTTCTGTCTGCATCGTTCCAACTATGCACTGTCTTTCTTCAACGATTTTTTTTTATCTGACATCGTGGCTCACGTCGACGCGAGGGTGGCGAGAGACCAGCAGAAGTCGTGTTATTTCAGCGTTCTCCTTCAAAGATTGCTTGAGCGTATGATTTGATTTTCTTGGAATGCATTGAAGCGTCTTTCTTCGCCTGTAATTCTTCGTGATGTTTTTCCGTTGTTTCTCTCTTTTATTTATTGTGAGACAGACTTCATCGACTGTCAGTGTGACGTTTAAAAAGGCAAATGTGACTCCGTTTCAACCGTCAGAAGCAACTGGAAAAGCCAGTGTTGATATTGCGCACTATTCGTCGAGCTTTAATCGGCCGAACACAGTTGGAAATCGACTGTCAGTGTGACGTTTAAAAAGGCAAATGTGACTCCGTTTCAACCGTCAGAAGCAACTGGAAAAGCCAGTGTTGATATTGCGCACTATTTGTCGAGCTTTAATCGGCCGAACACAGTTGGACAATCATTTCATCACTGTTATAAACCATAAAACTATTTTCAAGTGACATCGAAATGGTCAAGTGTCTCTTGGTCCTCGTGAGTGTCGCCTTGGCGGCGATGAACAGCAATTCTATTTCGGTGGCCACGGGTGAGTTAAACTTCTTAAAAATCACCTCCTGACGCATTTTGAATGCCATCCTTGGAACATCTTGCATGATATTTTTGAACTTCTCATACTTCTGATTAAAATGATCGTGAACCGGAAAAACCATTTAGCTATGAGTTTACATATCAGTGGGGATATTTTATGATAAAATTCCGTTTCATGGAAAGTTTGATGCATTTTCCAATTGAATCAGTCTAACGCCGGAAAATTCCGCCAGTAAAAACAGCTTCGTAGACAATATTTATAAATGACTTTAAACAGCCACAATGAACGCTTCGCAAGTTCCGTGGAAAATGCACGTTAGGCTGAAAAGGGACTTGAAACAACCACCATTGAATTTGATTAGGCAATCAACACAAACTTTTGAATAAAAATTCCTGGAGCAGGGAATAAATCTAAATTTTTGGCAAGTATCCAAGAAGGTCAATGCCTATTTTTTCATTTACAAATGAAATTATGTTTGTCGTAATCAACTAATGCTGAACATGTTTGGCCAGACTTTTCTTCAAATTTAGCTTTAACAGTGTAATGGATTCAAAGACGGAATAATCGGAACGCCCTCGTTGAAAAACAATGTCCGCTTATTTTATATCTTGCAATGCAGCTCATTTTATGAGAGGGCTTCTACTGTTGAAAAACATACATTCATACATACATACTTATATTTATACATACTACTCATACTTCATATGGATTATAAGAAGCAGAAGAATCAGAAAATTGTGGAAAATAAAAGAGGAATCAACATTTTTTTTTTAGAAAATCGGAATCTGTTCCAGACGCCGATTCTCAGTCAATGCTTCATTAAACGCTCATCCCCCATAAATTATTTCGCGGTCCACAACTGTGCTAGGCCAATATAAAAAAAAAATTGAAAATGTTGACACCCTCAGTAATACCAAAAGTTGAGTTCAAGAGAAATTCCACAGAGGATTTTCAGAAGAAACGCTCGAAATATTTCTTTGGTCGCCATTCGCAGATGCGAAGCACTAACATTTGCTTTCTTATTTCAATTATTTGTAATGATCTCAAAAAGCTTTGCAATATAAAGCAAAGGTCTTCCTTTTCTGATTTACGCAGAGTCAAATCTGTCGAAAAAGGTGGTACCTTTCCGCCCTCTCAACGACCGAACGTTGACAAATGACGCAGAAGCTGGCTTCATCGTTACGATTATGAAAATCTTCCCGAGTGCTGCTTCCTCAGTTGGGGATGCTGGCTGCCTAATTCCACCCAAGTAAGTCGCATTTTCATGGTTTTCTTGAATAAATGCAAGGAAAAATTAAAAATTATCGTGCGTTCCAGTCCACAATAATTGCATAGAATCCTTTCCTCTCAACAGAAGCACAGATCAAGTTATTTATAAATGTATCCATATAAAAATCGAATTTTATGTGAAGTTGACAAAATGCAGCGACAAACTCGAGGGATCGTCCGAAATTTCTTCACGAGAGAATTGGAAGAAAGCCAGTATTCATTCCGAAATTCTCCATAATCTATTCATATTATTTTCCTTCAACTTTTGAATGGCAGGCATGTTCTGACCTACGAGAAATGGCAGCAGTCATACTGGGGTTCAGTTTGGTGTTGAGTTCAGGCACGGCCACGGCAGGTGCTCGAGGGACAACTTTGGACGAATTTGTTGGGTCATTGCGCTGTTATAGCAAAATTTGAAGAAAAGTCTGGCCAAACATATTCAGCATTTGTTGATTACGAGAAACATAATTTCATTTGTAAATGAAAAAATAGACATTGACCTTCTTGGATACTTGCCAACAATTTAGATTTATTCCCTGCTCCCGGAATTTTTATTCGAAAGTTTGTGTTGATTGCCTTATAAAACTCAATGGTGGTTGTTTCAAGTCCCTCTTCAGCCTAACGTGCATTTTCCACGGAACTTGCGAAGCGTTCATTGTGGCTGTTTAAAGTCACTTATAAACATTGTATACGAAGCTGTTTTTACTGTCGGAATTTTCCGGCGTTAGACCGATTCAATTGGAAAGTGCATCAAACTTTCCATGAAATGGAATTTCATCATAAAATATCACCAGCACTGACATGTAAAGTCTCAGTCAAAATGGTTTTTTTCCGGTTCACGAGCATTTTAATCAGAAGTATGAGAAGTTCAAAAATATCATGCAAGATGTTCCAAGGATGGCATTCAAAATGCGTCAGGAGGTGATTTTTAAGAAGTTTAACTCACCCGTGGCCACCGAAATAGAATTGC